AAATTTGTATTTATTTTAATTAAAATATTTCGAATTACCGACAATAATATCGTTTAATTTATTATTTTTTTTTATTTGTAAAAAAAATATTTATTTATAATAAACACTTCTGGAATTAAAGCAGTGATCACTTGGAAATATTCGTTTAATAATAATGATAATTAAATAATAATTTTAATTTTCCCGAAGAGAGTTGGAACCCAATAATTAAACATTTGTTATCTGTATATAAAATTCAAGTAGATCTTCTATCAAAGTAAGTTGTTAAAATTAAAGATAATTGATTATTTTTTACAATTTTGAAATACTTATTTAAAAGCTAAATACATTTCTAAATAGAACGATGTTGATATCAAAAATGGCTTGACAAAAATAATTTTAATAATAAGATTAGAAGAATCGCAAAAGTAGAGTTTATAGTTTTTTGGTTAGTAAAAGATCTAATATTTCCATTTAACAAATATGCCAATTATAATTAGTAAAACTAAATCAATTTTATATGTTGATTATAATTCAACTAATCAGGAGTTTACTCCTACGATTCCATATTTTAGCAGACTATGTAATATTATAGTGGTGAGTGACTATGAGATCCGTGACGAAGACTGGGAGATTTGAATACCCCAAACTTAAAGATCGAAGATTAAAAGTAAAGAATACTGGTTGTCACCAAGGCCGAAGAAAGTGCCTAAAGACGGAGTAGAAATAAAGTAATAAGAAAAAGAGTGAAAAACAACTCGGTTAGTTACCGAAATCCAAAGGATAGTGCGTAAAAACAGAAAAGAAATAACGAAAAGAGAAAGTCATATGGGCCAATTTGGAACATGCATATAGTCTAGACTTAATGCCCTAAAAATGTTTAATGATGGAACAAGTTGTTTTACATTGTATTTAGTATATACGTAGTGATCTAGACGGTATCTGTTATGTCTGGTATGTACGTACATAACGATAAGCAAACAATACTAGATATGTCAATTTAGACTCATGGGTTTTGGGTGGGAATCATAGGTTTGACGCGTTATCTTGCATATCCTTGAATTATTTAGGGTTTTATTCGAATTATTTAGAGTATTTTCTCAAATTTATACCATAGAGCAGGCCAATTAAAAACAATTAAATACAAGTACAAAATAAATCTAGTGCCTCCGTTTAGGACCCAATGTCTCCGATTAGCCCATATGTAAAACTCTGTCTATAATAGTGATGCCGACAATACGTGACCAAACTTTATAAAAATATAAAAACTAGCCACGTAATAGTTTTATATTTTTGAGGCTTGGTGAAAACTATTAAAGTATAAACTTTATATACATGTGATAAAATTAAGAAACTACAGTATAAAAAAATTACATATATTTAATCAATACAATATAGCATACCATTATCGTTATGGCGCGTTTGTGAAATTTAGTAATATTTGATCATCAAATATAAACATTTGGTCACCAGCTAGACACAAATTTACTAGTGATTTTCTATAGTAACAATATGTCTAATCCATTTTCCTACCATCACAACCCATTTTAACTTTCTGTAATTGTGATCACAACCCATTTTAACTTTCTGTAATTGCGATTACAACCCACTTTACCTTTTTGTAATTGCGATCACGACCCATAGCGATAGTATATTATATTTTAATCAAAAATACATACACCTGAAGTCAATCAAATTGACTCACTGTTAGTGGTCAAACTTTTTAAAATTTAGAGTATTTTACAAATGCGCCGTAATGTTGTACGTATAGCGATAGTTTTTTTAAAGCTAATTAAATTTTTTACAATACAATTCCGGTTATCAATATTATTTGATATACAACTTATACAACTGAATTTTGATATAAGAAAAGTTTTCGGGGACATAGTTATATTAAATTTACATACGTATAAATATTTACTAGTATATCATTTTTTATTTTATCAGTTTTTAACTACGTATTACGTATGCATTACGGCTAATTTTGTTGGTACCCCAAAATTTAAAGGGTACTAACTGATTTATTGAGGATTATACGTAATACGTATCATAATTTGACACATTATATATAAATGATTTACATTAATAATTAGAGAACAATAAAGTAAAAAAAGTAGTCGGTTGGAGAGTGGGGTAATCGGTTAGACATTAGTTCTCTTATGTGGTTTTTTATTTTCAGGGTACTTTACAGTAATGTATATGTCAATTGATCGTCCAACATCTAGCAAAGAATTATAATTTTGAGGGATCGTCAATAAAATTTGATTAAAAAAAAATGTCCAAAAAACTAAATTAGCCGTAATGAAGGATAGTTATGATTATTTGGCGACACTTTCATATTATTTTTTGAAAAAATAGGACAGCTGAAGTTGATGCCGGTAGCATCTGTTATTTCTTGTTGGATAATAGGTTTTTTTTTTTTGATTTTTGATATAAATAATATAATTGATTGTACGTAATAAAATAAAATAAGCATCATTATACTTAATCACATCGGTACCCTTATTACGATTTACATGTGATCTGTCAGAAAAAATGCATTCGCTAAAAATTTGCAGGCAAAATTGCCTATAAGACGGATTATGGAAATTAAAATAATAACAATGAATTTCGGTTCATGCATTTGTTTATTTAGTCTTATCAGCCAAAAATGAAGATCTCAATATTTATTTAAAAAAAAATTTTTTAACCCAATTATATCGATATGTAAGACCTGCATTACAATATTTATCCGAACATATCTATATGTGATCACTGAATGATTTTCATGTAACTTCAAAATTTATTCGGCTACCTCTAATATTCAAAATTTCACACATGCCTTGCCTATCTAAGTTATACAAAAATCATTCAGTGCTTACGTTATCAGTCATGTCAAGTAGGATAAATGAATCGATACAGCTTATATATTTGATTATTATAAAAACTGATTAATGAATAAAGCCGAATGTATCGATAACATCCCTACAGTCAAGTTATGGCAGATGATAACTAATTACTTTACAACCTTCGGCAATGTCATAAGCATAGTGTCCTAGTTGTTGGCTAAGAGTAAATTCGAGCGTAAGATATGATTTGCATAAACAATATCAGTACTGCAGTAATAACGAAGCTTTAATTCTTCAATTGATTTTCTAAATGTAAAAAAAATAATCGCCTTTTTATATTTTAAATTTTGGCCAATATTATTTATAATTCTGCTTACTAATATTGTACGCTACATAAAGTTTGGTAAAAATATCGATTCCCATATAATTTGACCAATTTACATCGACCTAAATTTTCCATGTCTTTAATAAATTTTGAGAGCCATTTTATTGACTCAATAATTATGAATTAAATGACTAAAAATACACCACTCTTTACAATAAAATCAACCAAAAATATTATTAATGTTCATAAAATATGGTATTGAAATCATCGCGCTATATGTGCTACTTCCAACTTTTCAAAGTGCTTTCTTGCAACGCTTATATTCATCTGGGTTGCAGCTGATTCTAACAACAAAAAAAAAAAAAAAAAAAAAATATATATATATATATATATATTTCAGAAAAATTGAAACCATATTATAATAAAACCTTTACAAAATAACGTACCAACGGTTGGATCGGACATAATAACCATAACGTAAGTGTTTGTGGTTAAGATGTCAAAAAATGCGGCAAAATTCGCCTGTCGAATTTCCATGCTTCTAAATTGAGCTTGAGCTTTACTATAAAAAAAAAACAATATTAATAGTAAAAATTACATGTACACAATTGATAAAAATTCATTATAAAGATGAATATACTACCTGCAACTCAATTTGAACTGCTTCATATAATTACTAATTTTCTCGAACCTATGCACATCAGGATGTTCGATCCGTGTAGAATGAGAAATAACCAAAAATGTGGTTCGCTCAAATAACACAACTTCATCAGCTTCACATATTGTGGCAAAATTTTGAAGGTGTGATTCGAGCACTCTTACATTTGGAATTAAAGAATGGACTATTGAAGACCAAGCCTATAATAAACCATATTATTTGTATCATAATAAATAAATAAATAAATAATTAATTAATTAAAATAATTAATTAATTTCTTGATATTAAATATTTATTTACTTTATAAAGAGTCTCATCCCATATAGATGTAGCAAATGCCGTAATCTTCAGAGGTTCAGATCTTGTCTTTAGCTCATTGAGCCTTTCAGTAAATATCTAAATGGAAAAAAAAAAAAAAATTAAGAAATGTAATTTTATAAGATTAAAAGGGGCAACATGAATTTATATCTACTCGATTTCTTAATTCTTCCTGTACTAAGTCCATCTTGTGTATCAAACAAAAAATCTTTGCATCCTTTGAATTTGCCAATATCGCTTCGAGACAATCTTGGTAATAATGCATATCTCGCTCGATCTCTCTAGATTCTACGTCAAAAACGTAGATAAGTACTTCAACGTTACGAAAAATATGTTCGCGTTGAGAAGCAAAGTAATTTTCCATAAAAGTTTCTTGACTAACAAGAGGTAAGGACAATCAGATTTTTATCTTAGAATTACTAATATCAAAATAATTAATAGTAATAACTCATTAATAACTCACCCGCCACAATCCCATAAATTTAGGACCAAGTTACCAAGAAACCGAACACGAGAATTTTCTACATCAACTATTAAAAATTGGCCGGTTAAAACATGTGTTATAGAATTTAAGCCTAAATAAAAGTTCAATTCTTAACTCGTTGCACCAAGACGGCGTGTATCTCTCGCGACATAATTATGGAATATAATGCTTCGCATGGAGGTCTTTCCTGACCCACTTTTTCCCATTAAAAGGACCTATCAAATTTGTAAAACATTATATTAAAACATTATGTTAAAAAGTACATTACTACGGCAACTTTATACTAATAAAGGACTATTGGTGCATAAAAAATGTGAACCTTTTTGTTCATATTATAAAGAAATGAAGAGTGTATCCAAAAAGATCAGGTACTCAATTCTATCCAATTTATGTGATTGGTACGTAGGATCTACGGGTAACAGTAACACCCATTATGGTGCATATTTGATATTGTATCCGGTAAGAAATTCTAAGGAAAAAATAATAACGAATACGACCACTTGGTTTTTAGATAAAACAAAGAAAACTCTTTTTTTCAAGATGCTGGCATAGAGAGCATATAACTCTCAACAGTCAACCTTTTAACGACAGTAACGGTGTATAAATTAACTCCATAATAATAATATTAATAATAATAAAATCCACGGTCTCTTATTTTTTATTATAAATGTCTACTTCCTTAATCGACACCAATTCACCTTCTACTTCCACTCATTCTTTCACAAAATACCATAAGATAACAGATTCTTACCCCACTCACTTTTCATGGCTACGAAAGTTTGATTGTTTTAGACTTTTCTTTTACACTTCTGCAAGTGGTCACTTCAAACGTACCACAAACGCGTGGTATAGAACTCATGGATATCACCCGCCCATTGATGTCTGGCTTGTGTTAATGTGGGTTATTTTTCTTACTTTGGTGATGGGTTACTTTGGATTTTCGCTTCAATTTATAGAAGATGATAAGTATTATACGAAAGAATTCTTTAGAGAAGACGGAGGAATACATAATAATGTTCATAGACAAAAGTCAACTTGGAATTTTCTAGGATTTTTATTTTCTCTTATTATAATTTTTACAAGCGTAAAAGTTTCGTTGACTGATACATCTGACAAAAGAGTTATGAAAGGGGATATAGAGAGAGATATGACATATGCTAGGATGAAAGGAATACCAGTTGTTGTTGATGGTTGGTGTTGTATCTGTAGGTCAAACGTGTATGTATTTAAAGGTTTATTATAATTCTTATTATTATTATTTTTATTTTCTTTAACATTTATATTTTTTTGAAATTTTTAGAGGATCAGGTACAAGACATTGTAAATTTTGTAATAAGGTAGAACAGAATTTTATTAATATAATGTTATATGAATATATTTCGTTATATCATGAGTTAATATATTATTTTACAGTGTGTACAAGGTTATGATCATCATTGTCGATGGTTAAATTGCTGTATCGCTGAATCTAATTATCGGTAATTATTATTAATTCAGACCCTGAAAATAAAATAATCAAAAAAAAAAAAAAAATTAAAAATCTATGAAATTATTCATTTATAGAACTTTTATAACGTTAATAACTTCAATTCTTATCGTATCTATCATGAGCCTTTTACTTGCTTTGAACGCAATTGAAATATATTTTAATTCAGTGAATAACTATGAATTAAATTGTATGTATTAGAATTGATCTTTTTTACATGTTCTATTTTTATATAATTAATTTAAATATTTGTTATTATTTTTGTATAATTAATTTAAATATTTGTTATTTAGTACATAAAATATTCCCATCCTTACCATTAAATATGGTCATCCTTGGATTATTTATAAATATTTCGTTAATAATTTTAAGTTCAGGAATTGTAGCATTTGTCGGGCATTTACTGTTTTTTCATATAAGACTATGTAAGTATTATTAACTACCGGTATATTAGAGAAAAACATTAGTACGTTTTTCTAATACTTTTTTTTCATTATTACTTTTTAGACTTAATGGATATGACAACCGTAGAATATTTAAGTCATCAACAACAAAGGAGATATTATAGTGATAATTATGAGGATGAGGATGATGAAAATCCATGGAGAAGACCTTATTATAATAATCCATGGAAAAGGTGGATAATGGGTTTAGTCAGGAAGGTTTGCAAAGTATGTTTTAAATTTTATTTTAAATTTTATAGCATTTAAATATGTATCATCATATCTTTGTATATTAGAGCTAATTTGATGATAATCAATTATTTTAGTTTACGAAATGTTGTTCAAGAAAATGTAAGAATAATAAACCTAAAGATAGGATAGAGTATGTATATAATGTGTAAAATTGAACATAGCTTTTTAAGTGTGTTGGTTTTTTTTTTTTTTTGAATTGGTGAATTCAATAATATAGTATATGGTTGAAATTGGTAATTAAATATTTCTTGCAGGTTTCGAGAATAAATTATTTACTGTTTGTTAACCGTTATGAATTTATAGTGTATATATATATATATATATATATACTTATATTATTATCTATATTTTTGTATTTTTATTTGTTATTTTAGCCCCAAATATGAATTTCGTAAAATTTTGTAATTAAATGTTTGCCTTTTAAATAATATTTAATTTTACTTATCGGTATAACTTTGCAATAATTATCTGTTATATATAAAAAATAACTATTAATTGCTAATCCGTCTAAGATCGTCACTATTTTATACTAGGAATTGTGATAAAATTACTACATGTCACTCTCGTTATAGTGAACTCTCGATATAGCAAAGTTATTATTATGCTCACAGTCTATATAAAATTCTCTCGATATAGTGAATTTACTAATAAAGCTCTCGATATAATGAATTTTTAAAAATTTTTATTAATGGAACGGATAACGAGAGTGACTTGTATCTGCTATTAAAGCGAGCAAATTATAATATGAAAGGGTGAAATCTGCGCAGAGATGATGCAGATCAATACTTAATTAGATTAGTTACTATTTTAGGAGGTTAGTTTAAAAGCCAGGTTCATTATATATAAATCTATATCTGTTAATAGTTATTGAGTAATTAGTATTTAGAAATCCTTATTTATATTTAACTATATTTTATTATGTTTAATTATGTTTAATTATATTTAACTATGTTTAACTATGTTTAATTATATTTAGTTATATTTAGTTATATTTGATGATGTTTAGCTATATCTGATAATGTTTAGCTATGTTTAATAATATTTATTTATATTTAGAAAAAGATATATAAATTTTGCTTTTTTTTTTTTCTGTAAAATTAGATTTGTCTTTTACAATCTCTTTAATATTGGAATTCTCTTAGTATAAATATTAATAGATAATTTTGTATTATTGATATTGTATTATAAATAAAGAATACTCTTTGCTTTAATATAATCTTTTTAATGAATCATTCTTGTAAAGTAATATCTTATTTTGATATCATTAAGAGTCTCTTTTCTGTGTTTTATATTATTTGTGATATACTAAGAAAGTTATATTACTTGTAATACTTTGGTATCTTCTAACAAAAAACTAAAAAGAAATATTAAATTTTTAAAATTTCACAACTCTTTCCGACGATCATCAAAACCAAAACAACAAAACAACAAAAAGTTATTTTTCTTGCGCTACTACCTAGTAA